ACATATATATATATACATATATGTATATATATATATATATATATATATATATATATATATATGATATAGAGATAGATAGATATATGAATAAACATGAGTGCATATGTATATGCATATATATATGTGTGTGTGTCTTGTGTGCGTGTGTGATATATATACATATTTATATGTGTGTCAATTTGCTATCTATGCATCTATCTTCTACGTACGTATGTATGCATATATAAGTATGCATATCTAACTTTCTTACTATTTGCTTATCTGTCACTCTTTTTATCTAAGTATCTATTTATCTATCTATATATCAGCCATCCTATTCTATCCCTGTATATAGAACCAAACTTCCAAACGATCAGCGAATGTTACTCACAGGAACGTTGCCGTCAAAGATGTCGGTGCACCTTGGAGGCGACGGGCAAGTCCCAGGCTTCGGGTCTTGTTAACGAAAGGAATGATAAAAAGTGGATGGAAAAAAGTGCAAAATGTGATAGAATGATCCACTGTAATCAGGAATACGAGGAAAATTACAGCAAGCTATAACAGAAATCTAGTATATGAGATAACAAATAATAATTAACATGGAATAATGATTTCTTAATTGCGATGGAATTCCACTCACCACAGCATGCGTACTGGTCTCCGTAGGGGCCAGGGCAATAGTTCTTGCAGCTGAGTCTCTCTGAAGCGCACAGAGCGAGGCACACAGCCACAAATACAACAAGACGAAGGTGCAACTAAAATGATAATAATAATATAATAAATCATAATTGTCCACAAACATAAAAATATTGTAATCACTTCCCTATTTGATAATAAGATGCAAATCTACAATCTTTTGAAATATCAGCTCGACATTCTTTGAGAAATAAGTAAAAAACGTAAAGTGTGAGCGTGACCAACCATCGCGACGGGAGAGGGTGAGTGGTTTCTCCAAGCAGGACCGAGGAAGGTGTTGCTACCGAAGGGAAGATCCGCCTTTTTATAGGCGGCCCGAGAGATGCAGTGCGCATTTAGCAAGGTCATGATGTTGGAAAGCAGAAATTATTATTATTAATAATAAACAGTGTGTACATTACTAAAACACATATACACACATGAATATATATGCAGTGGGCCGACTGCTCAAGAGCTGCAGATGTTGGGTTATCTGCTTCTTTTTTTCACTGATTCTTCTCTTCCTTTCTCTGTGGCTAAAAGAAAGAACTCTCTTTTGTTGGTGTAATATATCTTCTGAAATTTGCAAAAGCGTTTTCACCAATTAACCGGATTGCAATTTCGTTGATCATTTATAATTCCTTGAAATAGCTTACTGGTCGAAAACTACTGTGATACACGACTGCGTTCGTGCATGCACACACGCACACACACACACACACAATATATATATATATATATATATATATATATATATATATATATATATATATATATATATATATATATATATATAAATATACAATATACATATATGTATATTACTGCATATTTGAGTATATATATACATATATGTGTGTGTATGTGAACAATCACACAAGTGTAAGTATACATATATATATATATACATATACATACAAATATACGTAAACATACACATATGTGTGGAATTCATGTCGAACAAATTGCAATGAGAACAACACACATCCACACACACATATATATATTTATATATATGAATGTGTATATATAATATATATAGATATGTTTACACACATAAATATGTATATGCATGTCTGTGTATGTATATATATACAGAAAAAGAGAATTTGCATATTTATATACATTAATGTTTATTGGTCAAAAAGCCTCATGTACAAATTAATTTCTAATGAAAAGAAGTAATACCATCATCCTTCCATAAAAACGATTGCCAAAGAGAGTCCATTGCAACCAAAATTGTAACAGAACTAGTGTCTCAGACCGTGCACTGAAATGCAGATCTTCCCTGCATTGCAAGTGTCTTCGCAACACTTCTCGTCCCGGGGACAGTCGCTGTCGACGGAGCAAGACTGCGAGAGAGAGTCGGTGAGGACGAGCTTCTCGTTCGGCCGAACTCTTCTAACCCATGCCGACACGCACCATGTTTACCCTACTAGGTGCTGATTACTCATGCGTGTGCTACTCTCCTGACGAAGTTGCTGAAGATATATTCTCGCACTCCACGCCAATCTGGCTCACCTGCCTCGTCACTTTTTTGCAAACCCTCGTCAGCACAGCCATAATGTCACTTCTACCCTCCACCACCAATACTTCCTCACCACTATTAAAGTAAGTGTATTTTATTAACTATTGCCCTCCCTATACCTGCCCACACCTTACATATGAACTGCTGTTTTCTTATTGAACACACATCACTAATACACTAACAAAATTTCTTTCTGTCAGCCACTGCTTTAAAAGCACAAGAAACAAAATCACAAACGAGACCAGACTTACGTAACACACACTCGTAACTCACATCTCATACCCCTGCCTTAACCATTCTTTAATCGGTATATTCTCATATTTGTAGTTTTTCTATCATATCATTATTGTCCTCACATTGCAAAATTTGGTATGTTTTATCTTTTTTCTCAAAGTAAGTAAAGAGGCGTCAATTTATTCAATTATTGTGTTCGTTTGTCTCCGCGTATATCATTCATGTTTATTGTTACGAATTTACGTTATCTTTCTCTTTTCTTTTATATGGAATATTCATTCATGATTACTTAATTTTAAACCAGCTCATGGCCGTAAATACGTATATATATGTGTTTATATATATATACCTGTATGTTTATTTACTTAATCTATCATTTATTTATACGTGTGTGTCTATATAAATGTGTGTGTGTGTTACGTATGTATATGTATATATGTATATATATATATATATATATTATATATATATATATATATATATGTGTGTGTGTGTGTGTGTGTGTGTGTGTGTGTGTGTGTGTGTGTGTAAGTAAATATATAAAGATAGATATGTATACACACGCACGCACACAGGCACTCACACACATCGTTATCCTTTCATGTATGAGTAAGTAATCTCTATGGATGCTAGTAAGCTCCTAGTTGCTCACTTTTAGTGGTCGTTGTTCGAGTGGTCTGGTCTTGCATTCACGTGCAAAGGGATCGAATTATTTATATATATATATATATATATATATATATATATATATATATATATATATATATATATATATATATAGATGTGTGTATGTGTGTGTGTGTGTGTGTGTGTGTGTGTATATACAATTTCATCACTTCTATTAGCCTGAATTATCTTTACAACTTACTTTTTACTGGCTTTATTCTATAATACCTCTACCTTATTCCCATAGTAAATTGATTTAGATATTTCGTTATTGTTTTATTAAATCGAGAGAATAAAAGAAAGGCAAAACAAACAACAGAAATGAAGAAGGAAAAAAGACCAACACAAATGCTAAGTAAAATAAATATAAAAGGGATTAGTTCGAGGAAACAAATAGAAAACGGGTAGAAAGATAAATAAAAAGAGAAATGAAAGAGAAAATAAGAATGGAAGCAGATTAGAAACGTAAGAGACCGATACCAAAAAATAGAAGGATAAAAACAAAATAGATAAGGATATAGTCACGGCAAGGCTAAACTCAGATCTAATTATCAAATTATTTACAAAAGGCAGATAAGCAGCAAGACAAATGGAAAACCAAGAAAAAGAGAAACAAACGAACAGAGAAACAAAATATATACGTACATAGATGTATACAGAAGACAAGGCTAAACACAGAATTATCATATTTTTAAAAAGCGAAGTAGGAGAATTTCATTTTGAAAGCGTATCCTCGCGCTGATTCAAGCTCGCCTGCAAGCAACGTGACCTTCAGAAAGAATAATGCAAGACCACCTCACTTCACGGGGTTGAAGAGGCCGAATTTATCTCGTTTCATTTCCTGCGTGAATGTATGTGTGTGTATACACTTAAATACACACACATACAATATACTGTGTATATATATGTATATACATAATATATAAATATATGCGTGTGTATACATATAGACAGATGGATAAATAGATTGATAAACAAATGGAAAAGTAAATATATAGATATGTGCGTGTGCGCGTGTGTTTGTGTCTTCTATGCATGTATATGTGATTCAGTATGTATGCATGTATGAAGACGTTAAGCTATCAACATGCCTGCGGTCAGCAGCACCACTGACGGCTCACCTTCATGCTGTTGCCACTGGCTATGCTGGCAACTGCACGCACTTTGGAGGCCTATAAAAAGCCCGTTTCCTGCCCGCATCAACAGTTCGTCCTGCAGCCTCCTGTAGACACGACACATTCTGATTCTACGCGATGGTTGGCTGCTCTCCAAGATGACTTTATCTTTATTCATTATCTATTTTCTATTTCGTCGATCTATTTTTATTTATTTTTAATGAATTCTCTAAGCTTTATTATGGTTAACCTGGATAACTTCAGTCTTTAGAAAATGTTAATTTTCCTTCGAAATATGCACTGAGAGCGATTTCCCGTTTGGCATTTGTCTGTTTGTCTTCTCTTTGCATCTGGTATAATTTATAAGTGATCCGAACAGGAACTTGTGATCCTAACATGAACTTGCATTGCAGTTGCGCCTTCGCTTCGTTGTCCTTCTCGCTGCCTGCGTCGTGGCAGCCATGGCGAGCCACAAGTGCTCTCGTTACTGCCAGACTCCGGGGAAGACTCACGTGTGCTGTGGGTGAGTGACCTGTGACCTTTGACCTTTGTGTTGCATAGGTAGGTAAAGAGGTAGATTTATATAAAGAAGACACGCAAGTTAAGTTTACTTTAAGGAGTGAGACTATAGGGTTGATTCTTTATATTCTGAGAGATACAAATCAAGATACATAGATAAGCGATTAAGAGGTACTTGCAAATACAGAGGTACATCCCATTGAAATAATTTCTATTCATCTGTAAAGTGTTTGCATGTCACACACTCATTCCCTCCAATTCATTTCCAATCCAATTATTCTCCAACAGATCCCCCGCCTCCCCCCCGCTGCCCCAACCCCGCTCCGTGCTACGACTTCTTCGAGTTCATCGTAAGTGAACACAAGCGCACAGACAGGGACGTGTACACAAAGTTGAAAAGGAAAACAGCCACAGTAAGAAATGGAAATAAGTCGATTTTTAATTTTTATTGTGGCTGTTTTTCTTCCCCGTAAGTATTTCCGGTCCTTTCGCTCCTCCACCTTGGTGAGAGATTTCGGACTCTCCAGCTGCCGGAGTTGGATGAATGTGAAAAAAAAAAGAATTGTTTCTTTGTTTTTGTTGGTTTGGTTTAGTTTCTACTTTGATTTTGGGTTTCATCATTATTTTTCTTTCATATGAATAATTTCTTCCTTTACGGGTGTCGAGCTCAAAATTCAAGAATTATTACCTTGCAAATTTATCATAATGGAAAATAATGATTATGACTGGACATTCATAAAGAACCATTATTTCATAATAGCAACATAGATATAAATATTTAATCTAGTATGTTTATATGGCAAATTTATGGTAATTGATGATTCTTGCATGCAATTAGTTTCATAGGAAGATAGGAATGGGGTTGAATCATTTTCAACTGTTGACAAACTGGTATCTTCATGAATACGTCATTCTGAAGAAAGCAAATTTCCTCGACAAACGCGCATCTTTCCTTTCCTGCAATTCCTCTTCATCGGTCTCTTCCTTTCCTTCTTTGTAGAGAAAAGCGAGTCATCTCTCACGCACTCTCCCTCCTCTCTTGCAGTACTGCTACCACGATGACCAGTGTCCACCGGGCCAGAAATGCTGCACAGACGGCTGTTCCCAAAGGAAAATTTGTGTGCCCGTCTGAGTCATGCCCCAGCGTGTGCATGGCGCATGACACGAACTCTGAACCAAAAGTTGAAGAACTGCGTGCATGACCGTTAACTCTTTCTTGCTTTTGTTTTTCATTCTTTTCTTTGCCATTTCCTCCTGTGGATGTCACGAAATACTTTTTTCTTTTGGTTTAACATCTCATCTCTGAAATGCACAAGCGGCATTTGAGCAATAAACTTTGATTGGAATTTCGTCTAGTGTTTTGTTTTCTATGGAATGGCTTGTGTGCACCAAATATGGGACACACATACACACGCACACCCAAGGAACATTTTCGAGAGGACCATATGTACTAAGCCGTGGGATGACCCAGTTGCAACGTGGCCGGAAGTACAGGGAGAGAGCAGACAATCGCGTCTGGCAGGAACAGGCATCTTGGTAGTGGTGTAGGACCAGCAGACGTCTTGGGAAATTTATAGCAAGTTTGGCGTGGAAAGTATTGAGAAGACGTGTGTTGCGATAGTCAGAGAAGCGAGACAAAGGCTGAGCTATTTACATAGTATTTATATACCCGAGACCTTGTGCGAAAATGTCTTAACCTACGAATAAGGATAAAGTGAGGCTTACCAATACAGTGTCCATTTTCTGACTGGGTACGAACCTAGGACCTTGTGGTCGCAAAGCCACCTCCCTCCCATTGAGTCCATGACCCTCTGTCTCAATTCCCGTGCCATAAGCTTAGAAATCCAATATATATACCATGCATATACATGTATACATATATATATGTGTGTAAGTATATATGTATATAGATATCTACGTAGATACACATACGTATATGCAGATAGATGCACACAAACGTATATATATATTTTTTGTGTACATAGGCATATAAACATTCATATATATTACTTTATTAATCAAGGTAAGGAAATGGCATATTCATTTTCCATTATCGTATATGAATATTTGATCATTAGCTAGAACGCTTATTGTACAAGGATTCTACTCAAGACCCAGAGTCCAAATAAGTAACCATGATAGTGCTGGTCATGTCTTGTTAGCATACAATTAAAAAGAAAACTAATAAAAAAGTTATCTAAAAAGAATACGAATGGGGAATCTAAAGTTCGAGCTGCCATCGTTTTCCGAAATACGCCATTTTGGCGAAGTAAAGTTCGCGACGCTAAATGCGCATCTTTCCCTTTCTGAAATTCCTCATCCTCTGCCGGATTTCCTCTTTTTCCATGGAGCTGAGCAGAGGAAAGCGAGCCATTTCTGACGCACGTCTTTTTAGATGTAAGCTTTTCTTTTAATAAACTTGTTTATATATATATATATATATATATATATATATATATATATATATATATACATATATACATATGATTTTCCTCCTTTGCAGCTCTGCTGCTCCTACATCCAGTGTCGACGGGGCCACAGATGCTGCCCAGAAGCCTGTTCCGGGCACAGTCATAAGGAAAGCGCTGGACCGACTGCTCAGGAGCTGCGTGTGTTGGGCATTCAACCTCTTTTTCCTCTGATTTTTTTTTTTTTTTTTTTTTTTTTCTTTTCTCTTTGGCTAGAACAAATGAATTTCTTCTCTTGGTTTAATATATCCCTTCTGAAATATGCAAAATCGTTTTTCAACAATAAATCGGATTGGAATCTCGTTTAGCGTTTGGATTTCTGTACAAAACCATGTGATACATTTATATATACATATATATGCATATAAATGTATATCATATATGTATATATATATCTATACATATATATATATATATATATATATATATATATATATATATATCACATACACACATATCTATATATACGTATGTATGTGTGTGTATACAAAATCACACATGTATACGTATATATGAATATGAATATACAAACATACATAAACATACACATCCATATATATATATATATATATATACATATATGTGTGTGTATATACATTTAGAAAAAGAAAACGTGAATATTCTATATTTATTTATATTAATGTTTACTTGCCAAAAAGCCTCATGTACAAATTTATTTCTAATGAAAAGAAATAATAGCATTATCCTTCCATAAACTTTATTGCCAAAGAGAGTCTATTGCAACCGACACTGCAACAAAACTAGTGTCCCAGACCGTGCAATGAAATGCAGATCTTCCCTGCATTGCAAGCGTCCTCGCAACACTTCTCGTCCCGGGGACAGTCGCTGTCGACGTAGCAAAACTGCGAGAGAGAGAGGCGGTGTCGGGTTTAAAAGACTGCTTCCATATATATGTGTGTGTGTGTGAATATATAATATATATATATATATATATATATATATATATATATATATATATATATACACACACATTTGCATACATACATATAGATAAATACATATACATAAATAAATACACGTACAAACATATATATACATATATGTATATATATATATGTGTGTGTATGTATGTATATAGAGATAGATAGATATATGAATAAACATGAGTGCATATGTATATGCATATATATATATATGTGTGTGTGTGTGTGTGTGCGTGTGTGCATATATATACATATTTATATGTGTGTCAATTTGTTATCTATGCATCTATCTTTCTACGTACGTATGTATGCATATATAAGTATGCATATCTAACTTTCTTACTATTTGCTTATCTGTCACTCTTTTTATCTAAGTATCTATTTATCTATCTATATATCAGCCATCCTATTCTATCCCTGTATATAGAACCAAACTTCCAAACGATCAGCGAATGTTACTCACAGGAACGTTGCCGTCAAAGATGTCGGTGCACCTTGGAGGCGACGGGCAAGTCCCAGGCTTCGGGTCTTGGTAACGAAAGGAATGGTAAAAAGTGGATGGAAAAAAAGTGCAAAATGTGATAGAATAATCCACTGTAATCAGGGAATACGAGGAAGAATTTACAGCAAGCTATAACAGAAATCTAGTATATGAGATAACAAATAATAATTAACATGGAATAGTGATTTTTTAATTGCGATGGAATTCCACTCACCACAGCATGCGTACTGGTCTCCGTAGGGGCCAGGGCAATAGTTCTTGCAGCTGAGTCTCTCTGAAGCGCACAGAGCGAGGCACACAGCCACAAATACAACAAGACGAAGGTGCAACTAAAATGATAATAATAATATAATAAATCATAATTGTCCACAAACATAAAAAATATTGTAATCACTTCCCTATTTGATAATAAGATGCAAATCTACAATCTTTTGAAATATCAGCTCGACATTCTTTGAGAAATAAGTAAAAAACGTAAAGTGTGAGCGTGACCAACCATCGCGACGGGAGAGGGTGAGTGGTTTCTCCAAGCAGGACCGAGGAAGGTGTTGCTACCGAAGGGAAGATCCGCCTTTTTATAGGCGGCCTGAGTGGAGATGCCAGTGCGCATTTAGCAAGGTCATGATGTTGGAAAGCAGAAATTATTATTATTGATAATAAACAGTGTGTACATTACTAAAACACATATACACACATGAATATATATGCAGTGGGCCGACTGCTCAAGAGCTGCAGATGTTGGGTTATCTGCTTCTTTTTTTCACTGATTCTTCTCTTCCTTTCTCTGTGGCTAAAATAAAGAACTCTCTTTTGTTGGTGTAATATATCTTCTGAAATTTGCAAAAGCGTTTTCACCAATTAACCGGATTGCAATTTCGTTGATCATTTATAATTCCTTGAAATAGCTTACTGGTCGAAAACTACTGTGATACACGACTGCGTTCGTGCATGCACACACGCACATACACACACACACACAATATATATATATATATATATATATATATATATATATATACGTATATATATTCATATATAAATAAATATACATACATGTATATTACTGCATATTTGAGTATATATATACATATATGTGTGTGTATGTGAACAATCACACAAGTGTAGGTATATATATATATATATATATATATATATATATATATATATATATATATAATATACATACAAATATACGTAAACATACACATATGTGTGGAATTCATGTCGAACAAATTGCAATGAGAACAACACACATCCACACACACACACACACACACACACACACACACACACACACACACATATATATATATATTATATATATGAATGTGTATATATACATACATATATAGATATGTTTATACACACATAAATATGTATATGCATGTCTGTGTATGTATATATATACAGAAAAAGAGAATTTGCATATTTATATACATTAATGTTTACTAGCCAAAAAGCCTCATGTACAAATTAATTTCTAATGAAAAGAAGTAATACCATCATCCTTCCATAAAAACGATTGCCAAAGAGAGTCCATTGCAACCAAAATTGTAACAGAACTAGTGTCTCAGACCGTGCACTGAAATGCAGATCTTCCCTGCATTGCAAGTGTCTTCGCAACACTTCTCGTCCCGGGGACAGTCGCTGTCGACGGAGCAAGACTGCGAGAGAGAGTCGGTGAGGACGAGCTTCTCGTTCGGCCGAACTCTTCTAACCCATGCCGACACGCACCATGTTTACCCTACTAGGTGCTGATTACTCATGCGTGTGCTACTCTCCTGACGAAGTTGCTGAAGATATATTCTCGCACTACACGCTAATCTGGCTCACCTGCCTCGTCACTTTTTTGCAAACCCTCGTCAGCACAGCCATAATGTCACTTCTACCCTCCACCACCAATACTTCCTCACCACTATTAAAGTAAGTGTATTTTATTAACTATTGCCCTCCATATACCTGCCCACACTTTACATATGAATTGCTGTTTTCTTATTGAACACACATCATTAATACACTAACAAAATTTCTTTCTGCCAGCCACTGCTTTAAAAGCACAAGAAACAAAATCACACACCGAGACCAAACTTACGTAACACACACTCGTAACTCACATCTCATACCCCTGCCTTAACCATTTTTTAATTGGTATATTGTCATATTTGTGTTTTTTCTATCATATCATTATTGTCCTCACATTGCAAAATTTGTTATATCTTTTTTTCTCAGAGTAAGTAAATAGACGTCAATTTATTCAATTATTGTGTTCGTTTGTCCCCGCGTATATCATTCATGTTTTTGTTCACGAATTTACGTTATCCTTTCTCTTTTCTTTTATATGGAATATTCATTCATGATTACTTAATTTTAAACAAGCTCATGGCCGTAAAATACTTATATACATATATATGTTTTATATATACGTGTGTCTGTATA